CAGCCTAGGTAAGTCACTTGTCTGTGTGGGCTTCTTTTAGAGGAACCTTGGACAGGGCTGAGTTTCTTCGCTTCTTCTCCTGCCATCACAGTGAAAAAAACTGTTCTTTCAGTTCTAGATTTATGTGGCAGAATAGATGTGCTTGGTTGGGAATCTTTTCCCTGTTGTGGAAATTATCCCGACTTTAATATGAGTTAGAGATGAAAAATAAAGGGTCTAGATACTCCTTCATAAATCAATTTCCAGAAGTTTCTTAGACAGTTCACTTAAACTTTGTAGGCCTTACTTGTAATGACAGTCGTGATCTCTTCCATAAGCTCTAGCTATTAGACTAATATTTATTCTTAGTTAATTCTGATTGAAAACATTTTAATTACTAAAGTGTTGAAAACATTTGTATAAATAAGGACTTCTATTTATTTAGCCAAGCCATATATCCTTCTATCTTTTTGCTTTTTTGAGACAGGGTTTGGCTCTGTAGTCCAGGCTGGTCTTGTGTAGCCCAGAGTGGCCTTGGACTCAAAGCATTCCCCCTGCCTTTGCCTCTCAAGTGATGGGATAACAGGCATATGCTGCCATACTGGGATTTTCTGTTTTTATACTGAACATCACAAACCATATATCTTGCAAACATTTTTTTTCTAATCCTCTCATCTTCAATATTATCCTTATTTTATAGATAATAAAATCAAGTGTTTCAGTTACTTTTCTCTCATTGCTGGGACAAATACCTGACACTCAAAATTACAAAAGGAAAGGTTTATTTCCCTCATAGTCAGTGGAGGTTTCAGCCCATAATCATCTGGCTCCCAGGCAGAGTGGCACATGGCAGAGAGCATTCATGGTGGTAGCAAAGAGCAGAGAGCAAAATGGAGGAGTATCAACAACAGTGGCAACAGAGAGCAAGTTTGTCTCTCTGTCTCTCTTATTTTACATTCAGGCTATCTGCCCCAGGCTGGGTGTAGCACTCACACCCATAATCCCAGCAGTACTCAGACTCATAATCCCAGCCTTGGATCATGAATTAATCACAAACTGTAGAACTGTGCCTCAATGACTGCATGAAACTTTGGGGGGATAAATATAAATCATAACATTCTGCCCCTGGACCCCCAAAGACTCACACATCCCTTTATGCAAAAGACATTTTAGTCCATCTCTAAGAGTTGCCAAAGTACCAACAGTTTTAGCATTGCTGAGAAGTCTAAGTCCCAAGTCTCCTCCAAGATCTAAGGCAAACTCTTAGCTGTGAGCCCTTTTACAAATGAAAAATTAAACACTTTCAACATTGAAAGGCACAAGATAAACATTACCATTCTAAAAGTTGTAAACAACAGGGAAATACAAAGCATTGGGACCAATACAAGTCCAGAATCCAGCAGGGCAAACAGTAAGTCCCATTGTTCCATGTGGAATATCTAAAGCAATCTGTAATGAGTTGTGGGCTCCAAAAGCCTTATATGACTCCACCCCTATAGCACATTTGGTGGAAGCTCCCATGACTTCTCTCTCAGGCCTGCTTTGTTCCCTTCTTGCAGCTTCTCTTAGATAGTCCACATTCTTAGATTTTCCAAACTTCTGGGGTTTGCACTGAATAGGCTTTTCTCTCACAGCTTTACACACTGCCCTCTCAGGGGCACACTGCTTGGCCTCCCAGACATTCTTCTAAAATCTAGGTGCAAACCTTCTTTATCTCAGGATTCCTGCACATGGTTGATGCCAAAGTCTGCTGCCAGCTGGAGCAGTAGCCAGGCTTTCTTTTCTCTTGGATATAGGGGTCAAATGCCTGGATTGCTAAGCACTCTGACCCTAATTTCAAGGAACAAATTCTCCATGCCAGCACCATTTTGGAACCTGAAGTGACCACTGTTGCCATTCTGGAACATAGAGCTCTGTGGCTCTTCCCTTAAGGCAAAGTGCCTATCCCTCACAATTCTGAGGCTGCAAAGGGTGGAGACCTACTGCTTTCAGTGATGCCCTCAGGCCATCTTTTTTATTCTTTTGTTCCTTCTTGGCAATGGAGTTTCTCTCAGCTCAATCTTTGTATTCCACAGGTTTTTTGGAGCTTCCTTTCTGGCCAAACTGACAACATTTTAAATCATCCTGCCAGGCTCTTTGTTCTTGATTCTCAACATAAATCTGGCAAAAAGCCCCCAACAATAGCCATGCCACTGCCTCAATATTCGGCTGCTTTGAGATTTTTTTTGCCAGATTAATCAGTCCACCATGCTTAATCTCAGTCTCAGACAGTCTCTGGACACAAGTTAAATTCAGACAAGCTTTCTGCCAAGCCGTAACACAGATCATCTGGAGTCCAACAACCAATGCAGTCCTTCCCAGCAAAAACTTCTCCAGCCTGGTCTATACAAGCAGGTTTTCTACCAGTCTTCTGGTCTTCTGAGCTCTGACCAGAATCTCCCATACAGAACAGCTAAAGTTATTCCAGCACTTCACTTGTAGGTGACTCCTCCAAACCTTTCCTCTCTCTTTCCATAATCTATTCCCAAAAGCTTGTAATCCACATGGTCAGGTTTAGCCACAGCAATGACCCCACTTCTCTGCTACCAAATTCTTCTCTTGTTGCTGGGACAAATACCCGACACTCAGTATTAGGGAAGGAAAGGTTTATTTACCTCACAGTCACTCTCCAGTGATTTCAGTCCATAATCAGTTGGCTCCAAGCCAGAGTGGCATATGGCAGAAAGCAACCATACCATTCATGGCGATGGCAAAGAGCAGAGAGCAAAATGGAGGAGTAGCAGCAACAGTGGCAACAGAGAACAAGTCTGTCTCTCCGCCTCTCTTATGTTACATTCAGGCTATCTGCCCCAGGCTGGGTGTAGCACTCACACCCTTAATCCCAGCAGTACTCAGACCCATAATCCCATCCTTGGATCATGAATTAATCATAAACTGTAGAACTGCACCTCAATGACTGCATGAGGCTTTGGGGAGACAAATACACACAAACCATATCATCAAGCTCCCCCCAGTGAAAAAAAAAGGAACCTAAAAAACCCAAGGCACAGAAATACTCCAAGATTTGCTATCACCATCATCTCAGAAGATGGAGTATCATCTTCTTTGAGTAATTATTTAAAATATACCATAATACACCTATTTATGTGTTAAATGTGTTGGCAAAGGACACTAAATAGAGTACAGACACCTCAACTTGTCCTGGATGCCAAGCAAGAGGAGGGAACACAGGTTCATGGCCATTATCTTTCCCTGACTTCATGTTAGGGCCCAAACCTAACATGTCACTGTCCATATCTTCTAGAAAAGCCATAGTTTGACACACCAGGTGAACTCCTAAGTTGCAGAGTGTATTAACAGTAATGTGTTCTTAAGGCCAATTAGAGTATAAAACTTTGGCAGTTTTTCATGTTTTATTTATTTTTTAATGCTAGGTAATCAAATTCAGGCCATTGCATATGCTAGGTGAGCACTCACCCATTGAGCTGTACCCCTGCTCAGTTTGCCAGATTTTTAAGAACAGAGTAGATTCAAAGTTGTTGTAATAGTAACATCCTAGTCTCACCTGCATGTCCTTGTTTTGTGAATATAAGAGAAAGGATCACACTGTAGCAAATGTACACAACCCCACACCTGGCCTCTTGGGCCCAGCCTATGGTCTGTCATGTCATCTGTGAGAATGTTGTTTGAGGCTTTATCTTCCCTCTTTGGGTTTCTATGGTTAGTACTTCAAGAAGTACCTGCCCCTGCCCCTTTTGGGTTTTTGAAAGAAAGTCTCCCCACATGGCTCAGGCTGGCTTTGTTGAGGCAGCAGAAAAGGGGGTCTCTAGTCTGTCTTGCTCTTTGTGAATCATGTCATTATACTTTTTGATTCCAGATATTCTTGGAGAACTTGGAACATGAAGACAGTTTTGTATATCTGTCTGCAATTCAAGGTAAGTCTGTTCTGGTTAAAAGACTTTGAGCCTAAGGATCAAAGATTATATTATTTGCACAAAATCTCTAATGTCACATTTGTCCATCTTCCTGTCTTCTCATAAGGGTATTCTAAGTAATAATATTGCTGGAGGATTTCAAAAGAATCCCTGTAGAAGACTCAGTGTCTTATAATAAATTTTTATTTATGTTCACTTAACAATTTATAGATTAAACCAAGTATGATGGCATACCACTGTAACCTCAGCATTCTGGGAGGCTGAGGCAGGAAGATCCCAAGTTCAAGCCCAACTGGGGCAACTTAGTGAAATCTTGTCTCAAAAAAATCAAAAAGGACTAATGTAGCTTAGTGTAAAGACCCTGGATTCAACCCCAATATCACAAAAAGAAAGAAAGAAACACAGCATTCTATAAGCTAAGTCTCCTTTTTTTCTAATTCTGAAGAGAGTTTAGAGAAGTAGGCATCCTTCCCAAAAAGATGAGAAGCAGAGATGGAGCAGTTGGGATGAACTCCACTTCCTTCGGTACTGTGGGTGCAGTGAGCCAAGGTCCAGAGGCAGCTCCCCAGGTGTACCTCCGCAACACCCGTTTCTTAGGTGTCTGGTTTGGCAAATGACTTAATCTCTCTTGGCTACAATTTCTTTCTTCTTTCTTTTTTAAAGAGGCATAAAGAGGTTTGTTTGATAAGGCAAAATTTAAAGTACACACTCAAAAAAAAAAAGTACAGGCCCTCACGAGAGAGGCTGCTGGGCTCGATTTCTTATCAGTTAAAAATGGGACTAAATGAGAATGTAGAATAGTACAGGTACTTTGAAAAATAGTCTGGCAGTTCCTTAAACTTAGACTGGATGGGACATTTGCAGTCCCAGGTATATACCCAAAAGAAATAAATGTAAACAAGTCACAAAAACAATTTGTGAGTGTTCATAGCAGCATTACGCACAGAAGCCAGAAAATAAAACCAAGTGTCCATGAATTAGTGGGTAAATAAATAGGAGGTATCCACGCATAAGAGATTTTTGATTTTTTAGTAATAATAGTTAATTAAGTACTCATTTCCTACAACATGAATAAACTTCAAAAACTTTTTTTTTTTTGTATTTTTTAGGGAAGGGCTACAGGGTGTTCAGGGTCTCACTACTAGATCGGACTTGTAGTGATCCGCCTGTTTACAGCCTCCCAAGAGCTGGGATTATAGGTGGTCACCACCTCGCCCAGTCTTTTTTTTTTTTTGCGGGACTGGGGATCGAACTCAGGACCTTGCGCTTGCCAGGCAAGCACTTATTCTACTGAGCTATCTCCCTGGCCCCTCACCCAGTCTTGATTACTGTCTCAGCACATTCTGGGTGTGGGGCTGGCACTAGTACAGTAGGCCTAGGAATTAAACCCCTAGCCCCTGTGCCTGCTTGCAGGCACTTTAACCCACTGAGCTATTTGGCCAGCCCTCAAAAACATATTGAATAAGAGAAGCTGATCTTACAGGATGATATATTCTATGAGTTTCTTTATATGAAATGCCTAGAATAGACAGTTTATAGATGGCAGAAAGTATGTCCATGGTCACCTAGGCCTATAGAGCAGTGATATGGTTGAGAATGGTAGCTAAAGGGTATAGGATTTCTTTTGGGGGTAATAAAAACATTCAAAAAGTGGGTAATGATCATATATCTCCATGAGTATGCAAGCAACTAGTGAACTGTACACTTCAACTGGGTGAACTGTACTGTACACTGCTATCAAACCAAGCTCAGTAAATGAGGAGAGGGCTAAGACTGTCAGCACCTGGGAAGATAAGACAACTAAATCTAATGGGGTAGATGGTGCCCTGGAATCTGAGTAAGATCTTCAGGAAAAACTAAAAAAATTCTGAGTAAATTATAAGTTTTCTTTGATAATAAAGTATCAACTATTATATTCATTGTGACAAATTGTGTGTGTGTGTGTGTGTGTGTGTGTGTGTGTGTGTGTGTGGTGTTAGGGAATGAACTCAAGGCTTTCATCTTGAGGTATAACCTCCCAGTCCCCTTTTGTTTAATTTTTGTTTTCATTTTTGAGACAGAGTCCTCCTAAGTCATTTGAGTTTTCCAGGCTGGGCTCAAAGTTTCGATTCCAGTGCCTCAGCCTCCTAGAGTGCTGGGATCACAGGCATGTGCCATCATGCCCAGCCAACAAAAATACTTGTATCACACTAATATAAGGTGTTAATAATAGGGCAAGCCAGGCATGGTAGCTTATGCTCTAAAGTCCCAGCTATTCAGGAGGCTGAGGCATAAGGACAGCTCCCACTCAGGAGTTTGAAATGAACCTGTACAACGTTAGCAAGACCCCGTATCAGTAAAACAATAATAGTAGAGGCAAATGGGTATAAAGTATATGGAAACTCTATACTATCTTCTCATTAATTTTGTAATACAAAACTATTCTTTCATAAAAAGTTTAAACAGGGGAGCTAATACTAAGTTAAATGAGTTAATGTTTCAAAAGTGCTTAGCACATAGTGTTTGAGATATGTTATTGGTGTTATCATTATCACTGCTTCTGTTAGACTGCTGGGTCATAATGTGGGGACCTGTGTGACTTCTCAGATCTAAATCTTGAGTAGGCTTGTTCTACCCATTATTGTTACTTGACAAACTACCTCCACTAAGTGTCTTAAAATGATCAGTCATTCATTATCCTTCACGCATTGCAATTGAGCTAAGCAGATCTTGGCTGGACCTAGCTGGGCAGCTTTGCTTCTCCCTGCAGGTCCTAGGCCAGCTTCAGCATCTCTGTGCATGGATTCTTGGTTGTCCCTGGGCCAGTGGTCTGTCAGGGCATGTTCTTGTGATGACAGCAGAAATTTTAGAGAGGAAGAATACAGGTAAAAGCCTTTCCAGGCCTCAGCTGGAAACAGGCACCCTGTCACTTTGGCCTCATTCTTTTGGCAAAACCAAACATGTGGCCTAACCCAAAAGACAGGAGTGAAGAAATATGCTCTATCCCTGGGGTGGGACAAACTGCCAGGTCACATGGCCCTGGTTGTGGATGTGGGGAGCAGTGCAGAATTGACAATGCAGTTCTTCACATGAATGTTTGCCTTCCAAAAGCAAGGCTCACAGTGAGCACAAAAGCGCATGCCGGTCCCTACTGTGTAGTTTCTGCGTGTAATATGGGTTTGCCCTATAGGGGCTTCTTACTTATTTAATTTTGGTTTTCAGTTTTTTTGAGACAGGTACTCACTATGTAGTTCAGTCTGGCTTGAACTTACTGTGTAGCTCAGGGTGGCCTCAAGCTCACAGCAGTTCTGCCTGCCTCAGTTCCCTAAGTGCTGGGACTACAGGTGTGCACATGCCCACGAAGACTTCATATTTAAAGTTTAAGAGAGAATGCAAAGCAGACTTGAGCCTGGGATTCTTAATTTATTGAACACATACTGTATATCTACTATGTATAAACCATTTTAACTGTGAGCTGTGACTAGGCTAAAAGGCAAGAAAAATGCTTCAAAGGAGAAAAAGGACACCAGGTCAAAGTGGAAACCTAAAGAGTAGAGATAATAAACCTGCAGCCGAGAGGTCCGAGAGCCCCAGGGGTTCAGTAGTACTTAGGAGGCCACGTGAGGCTACCTGACAGCAAATGGTATTTATGGAAATCAGATAAATCAATGAAGCAAGAACCTAAATTGCCTCTAATTATTAAGTCTCAGCAAGTCATCCAGTACTTTCTCTAAGAAACTGTAGTACTGTTAAGGAGATGTTTTTCATTGTTTTTTTTTAGGACTGGGTTTTAGAAAGTGAAAGCATGTCATTCTATTGATGTGATACCTGGAATACGCTTTGTAGCTGATTAACCCATTGGGCTCATTAGCCTCTTATGTTCTGCTGTAAAAATCGAAACTGTTGGTGTTGTGTTTGTTTAGAACAATTTTAATTGGTGTGCTAATCAGTAGCTAATTTGATGATGAAGAATATGGGAGGGGGAGGTATAATTTCTGTTCTCCGTTCCCCAAGATGGACAAGATTGAACTAATTGATGTTTTTGGTGTTTGTAATATGCACTTAAAAGCCAAGGCCTTAGGTGAATTTCCCATTAAGGAAGAAAAGAACTGAATTTTCCCACCTGTGTTGCCAATGTAGTTTGCCCAGGCCTAAATCACTGTAGCAACAAAGCCATTCTGGACTCCAGTCAGACAAGTCCTGCAGGCAAGAGGTGTTTGGTTGTCCTTTCAGTAGTGTTTAGTTTTGGAGAATATCTGTGTGTATGTTTAAAGCTTTTCTTTTCTAGGCTGCTTAAGTGGCTCTATCTGAGAGTTAGAGTATCTTTTGATTAGTTTATTGGTATTTTGAATGTCTTATAATTTCTCACTAACTTTTTAATCTAGGTAGAGAGCAAAGAGGAATTAAGTAAATTCATGCAGCAAGTATTTTTTGTGTCTGATTTAGGAATTTCTGGTATATGTGTTGTCCATCAGAATTTAGCTAAATTCCCAGTAAGCTAAATTTGGGTTTATGAAACACTACCTACATGTGTCTGCATCTTATTTAATAAGCAACTCCATGCTGTTGTGTTGTCCTAGAAACTGCCCCCAGGTATTCAGAGCTGCTTCTTCAGGCAGAGAATTAGATACAAAATTGCCGAGTTCCAGCTGCCATCCAGTTTATAGATAGATGGCTAGATCTTAAGCCTACTGACTTAAGTATTTCTTCTTTTTTTTATACTCCTTGTGTGTGTGTATATATATATATATATATATATATTTTTTTTTTTTTTTTTTTTTTTTTTTTTTTTTTTTTTTTTTTTGCGGAACCAGGAATTGAACTCAGGCCCTTGCACTTGCCAGGGAAGCACTTATTCCACTGAGCCATCTCCCCAGCCCTTTTTTAACTTTTTAAAAATATTCTTTATGTTTTTAATTATCATTATTATACAAGCAATACATTCTCATCGTCAAGTATGGTGACAAGAATATAAGGCAAAAAGCAGAGTTCCTTCCCTTTCCCCAAGTAGGAGTTAAAAT